ACAATGGCCATCAAAATATTAGGAGACCTCTAACACAATTAAGAGGACTCTAGGAATTAGAAAAACCCTGGAAGTTTTACGTGACCTTGAAGAATTAAGAAACTTCTAAAAATTAGGAGATCCCTGGGAATGAAGAGAGTATTTTAGTCTAGAACGCGTTTCGGGGCCGCTGTGATTATTACCGCGTCACGTTAATACATACAGCATCTTCTTTGGCTATTTCAAAACCAACCAACTTAACTACCATGGTATTTCTAGTTCCGAAGATCGTTAGAAATTTATGTTAACCGTTACAAAACACATTCGCACACATCTCTCCATTAATAACGTGTAATAACGTTAAACAGCAAAATGATATTGTCAATGTAAATAATATTGGAAACGGCGGAAACACAACAAAATTCGAAAAACTTGTATTCCCTATTTTGGTTCATAGATTGCATGTACGAGTTTGTGGAAAATTAGATGAACAATTAATAAGAGAAATTAGGAAAAAATTGTATATTTTGAATATTCTTTAAGCAAATAAATTTGTCGGAACTTTTTTCAAGCGATTCAATTTGTCGATCAAAGACGCGCATTTAAAAAAAGAAATTCATTGCTCTAGGTCCTCTAGTTCTCGCAACACCTAAAAATATATGGCTTTCATTCTCGATTTGGGGAGCAATAACCATTTTTTTTTCATCCCTTAGATATAGATCATTGCAGGTCTTCCCGTGGAAGACAATATTCTTTAAGGAAATAAAGTTAATAGAATTGGCTTTTTGAAGGTTCTACAGTGTCGGACAAAAAAATAGCACACTTTAAAATTAACGTAATTTTTATTTATTTAATATTACAACCAAGGTTTTAGCTCTATACAAATTTGCAAAATACCACTATAAACATACACAAATAGACTGGAATTGCAATAGAACTGCAATAGAATTGCACAATGGGACAAAATGATAGCACATTTAACCAAAAATCATGCATAGCAATGCTTATTAGTAGAAAATGGATTTCATGCAAAATAAAAATTGTCTACTTCGATTGCAAGAATCTATTCTCTAAGAATTAGGTGGCCTCAAAGAATCTATTCTCTAAGAATTAGGTGGCCTCAAAGAATCTATTCTCTAAGAATTAGGTGGCCTCAAAGAATCAGGTAGTGTCTAAGAATTAGGTGGCCTCAAAGAATCAGGTAATCTCTAAGAATTAGGTGGCCTCTAAGAATCTTTTCTCTAAGAATTAGGCGGCCTCAAAGAATCTATTCTCTAAGAATTAGGTGGCCTCAAAGAATCAAGTAATCTCTAAGAATTAGGTGGCCTCAAAGAATCTATTCTCTAAGAATTAGGTGGCCTCAAAGAATCAAGTAATCTCTAAGAATTAGGTGGCCTCAAAGAATCTATTCTCTAAGAATTAGGTGGCCTCAAAGAATCAGGTAATCTCTAAGAATTAGGTGGCCTCTAAGAATTAGGTAGTCCCTAAGAATTAAGTAGTCTGTAATAATTGGATAGTCTCTAAGAATTAGGTGATCTCCAAGATCGTCGGAAATCAAAAAGTAAGGAAGAAATGGCCAACTCTGAATAGTTCGTTGATTCCAGGAAATGCTATTCTTAGAGCTGTAGCATCTAGGTGGAGTACGCAAGCTACAACCGCGCGAGCTCCTTACAGTCAACAAGCAGCGTTGTAAAGAGGAGGAATAGGGGACTGTTTGGATTCACCGTAGACACGATCCAACTTTTGATCTTTCTTTAGCAACACCGCTAGAAGTTCGGACCAGTACAAACAAATTCCCTCGGAACATCTAGATTGCGGATGTTTATGCGAATTGCCAGCTTTATGGACCTGTTCGTGAGAATCGAAAGGAGGAGACCAATCTTTTTGAATACTTCAACGGATCGTCGTGCCAGTCATAAAAGAAGAACGCTCGAATTCCTGACTTACGGCATTTTACTGTGTCTAAAATTTTGTATACTGACAACTGGACGGCGGACTTTATGCATTTATGATAAAAATGACCTGGAAAAATACGGAACAATGAAAATAATTGAATATGTTTTCGTTCTTTTTCTGTTTTTTGCAATCGAGGTCGACAATTTTTATTTCGCATGGATGTGACAATAATTATACATAACTTTTAACGTGCATTTATTTTCAATGATATTTTACATCGATTAGCAGAGATAATTCATTTTTGTTCTTTTTCTGTTTCTTGCAATCGTGGTAGACAATGTTATTCTGCATAGAGATTAGTTTTCTACTAATAAGAATTGTTTGCACATCTGTATAACAAAATTCGTGCATAACTTCATAACGTTGATTTTTTTTCAATGGTATTTTATATTGATTAGCAGAGACAATATATTTTTATTCTCTTTCGGTTTCTTGCAATCGAGGTAGACAATTTTTATTTTGCATGGAATCCATTTTCTACTAATAAGCATTGTTCACACATGTGCGTGACAATAATCATGCATAAATTTTAACGTTGATTTATTTCCAATGATATTTTACATCGATTAGCAGAGATAATTCATTTTTGTTCTTTTTCTGTTTCTTGCAATCGTGGTAGACAATGTTATTCTGCATAGAGATTAGTTTTCTACTAATAAGAATTGTTTGCACATCTGTATAACAAAATTCGTGCATAACTTCATAACGTTGATTTTTTTTCAATGGTATTTTATATTGATTAGCAGAGACAATATATTTTTATTCTCTTTCGGTTTCTTGCAATCGAGGTAGACAATTTTTATTTTGCATGGAATCCATTTTCTACTAATAAGCATTGTTCACACATGTGCGTGACAATAATCATGCATAAATTTTAACGTTGATTTATTTCCAATGATATTTTACATCGATTAGCAGAGATAATTCATTTTTGTTCTTTTTCTGTATTTTGCAATCGTGGTAGACAATGTTATTCTGCATAGAGATTAGTTTTCTACTAATAAGAATTGTTTGCACATCTGTATAACAAAAATCGTGCATAACTTCATAACGTGAATTTTTTTCAATGGTATTTTATATTGTTTAACAGAGACAATATATTTTTATTCTCTTTCGGTTTCTTGCAATCGAGGTAGACAATCTTTATTTTGCATGAAAATCCGCTTTCTATTAATAAGCATTATATACACATGTGTGTGATTATAATTATAAATAACTTCATAACATTGATTTATTTTCAATGATATTTTACACTGTCTAACAGAGACAATACATTTTTGTTCTTCCTCCGTTTCTTTTAATCGAGGTAAATAATTTTATTCTCCACAGATATCCGCTTTCTACTGATATAATCATCGCTTGCACAAGTGTATAATACAAATCGTGTGTAACTCCTTGACGCTAATCTGTTTTCAACGGCTTCTACTAGCATACCTCCTCAAGGCCTCAATCATAGAGATTCGTACTTGCATTTCGGAAAATATGTTCCTCAAGCAAATGCGAAGAAATCATCGATTTCGACAAAACATCTCACTAGCGTATCTCTCTAACGTCTTCTAGGAGGGCGAAACTCGACTACATCGTTAAAAATAACAAGATTTACCACTGGGATAAAGTTGCCTAATACGAGACCCATTCTTTTTTAAGCCATAATTTCCGATTCGAAATACAGGGTTTCCCGGAAAGAATAATCCGATTTCAAAAATTTATATTTTAAAAAATTACACACAGAAAATTATAATTCAAACACGAATGTAAGTCAAAAAATTGGGATCAATGTGCAAAAAATAGCAACGATCTTCAATACTTCAAAAAATTACCTTGAGGGAAAAAAAACATGAATCATAATATTCGTAGCTTCGAGCTAAACAATGTTGTCCGGACACATTTTTTAAATATCAGCAAAGCTAGCGAAGCTATTTTTTTATAACGTAAGCGGATAGTGCATTTTAAAGGTGAATTCATTGACCTGTAATACTTTAGTCTTTGGAGGTCGTTCAAGGTCATTTGATGCCGTTTAAAGTTCACTTTTGTTAGTGTGAATCGCGTTATATTTACATACGAAACGATGAAATGCTGAAGGAAGATTAACTTTTGGGACGTTTAACGAAAATTTAAACAACATTAAGTGATCTTAAACGATCTTCGAAGACCATGTAAATTTCTTCTAACAATTAAAAAAAAAAAAATTATCATCGTATCTACACATTCTCTTATATTTTTTCTATCTAAAATTGTGTCATTAGATCTATAATGAATTATTCTAAAATGAACAATGTTAAAAAAGAATTCAAATAGTTTGTAAATGTTGTTCACAATTATTTTAGTTATGTTCGGAACATTTTTCTTAATTTCAGAGTATAACTTAAAACGGATATACTTAAATTTCTATTTAACAGCAACATTGCTTTCTTAATCTGTTCTATTACAAATGAAATAGTATCCACAAATATATACAGGGATGTCCCTTGTAATAATTTTTATGATTTTTCAAGTACTTGTGACAATCTAATAAAAAAANGCAATCGTGGTAGACAATGTTATTCTGCATAGAGATTAGTTTTCTACTAATAAGAATTGTTTGCACATCTGTATAACAAAAATCGTGCATAACTTCATAACGTGAATTTTTTTCAATGGTATTTTATATTGTTTAACAGAGACAATATATTTTTATTCTCTTTCGGTTTCTTGCAATCGAGGTAGACAATTTTTATTTTGCATGGAATCCATTTTCTACTAATAAGCATTGTTCACACATGTGCGTGACAATAATCATGCATAAATTTTAACGTTGATTTATTTCCAATGATATTTTACATCGATTAGCAGAGATAATTCATTTTTGTTCTTTTTCTGTATTTTGCAATCGTGGTAGACAATGTTATTCTGCATAGAGATTAGTTTTCTACTAATAAGAATTGTTTGCACATCTGTATAACAAAAATCGTGCATAACTTCATAACGTGAATTTTTTTCAATGGTATTTTATATTGTTTAACAGAGACAATATATTTTTATTCTCTTTCGGTTTCTTGCAATCGAGGTAGACAATCTTTATTTTGCATGAAAATCCGCTTTCTATTAATAAGCATTATATACACATGTGTGTGATTATAATTATAAATAACTTCATAACATTGATTTATTTTCAATGATATTTTACACTGTCTAACAGAGACAATACATTTTTGTTCTTCCTCCGTTTCTTTTAATCGAGGTAAATAATTTTATTCTCCACAGATATCCGCTTTCTACTGATATAATCATCGCTTGCACAAGTGTATAATACAAATCGTGTGTAACTCCTTGACGCTAATCTGTTTTCAACGGCTTCTACTAGCATACCTCCTCAAGGCCTCAATCATAGAGATTCGTACTTGCATTTCGGAAAATATGTTCCTCAAGCAAATGCGAAGAAATCATCGATTTCGACAAAACATCTCACTAGCGTATCTCTCTAACGTCTTCTAGGAGGGCGAAACTCGACTACATCGTTAAAAATAACAAGATTTACCACTGGGATAAAGTTGCCTAATACGAGACCCATTCTTTTTTAAGCCATAATTTCCGATTCGAAATACAGGGTTTCCCGGAAAGAATAATCCGATTTCAAAAATTTATATTTTAAAAAATTACACACAGAAAATTATAATTCAAACACGAATGTAAGTCAAAAAATTGGGATCAATGTGCAAAAAATAGCAACGATCTTCAATACTTCAAAAAATTACCTTGAGGGAAAAAAAACATGAATCATAATATTCGTAGCTTCGAGCTAAACAATGTTGTCCGGACACATTTTTTAAATATCAGCAAAGCTAGCGAAGCTATTTTTTTATAACGTAAGCGGATAGTGCATTTTAAAGGTGAATTCATTGACCTGTAATACTTTAGTCTTTGGAGGTCGTTCAAGGTCATTTGATGCCGTTTAAAGTTCACTTTTGTTAGTGTGAATCGCGTTATATTTACATACGAAACGATGAAATGCTGAAGGAAGATTAACTTTTGGGACGTTTAACGAAAATTTAAACAACATTAAGTGATCTTAAACGATCTTCGAAGACCATGTAAATTTCTTCTAACAATTAAAAAAAAAAAAATTATCATCGTATCTACACATTCTCTTATATTTTTTCTATCTAAAATTGTGTCATTAGATCTATAATGAATTATTCTAAAATGAACAATGTTAAAAAAGAATTCAAATAGTTTGTAAATGTTGTTCACAATTATTTTAGTTATGTTCGGAACATTTTTCTTAATTTCAGAGTATAACTTAAAACGGATATACTTAAATTTCTATTTAACAGCAACATTGCTTTCTTAATCTGTTCTATTACAAATGAAATAGTATCCACAAATATATACAGGGATGTCCCTTGTAATAATTTTTATGATTTTTCAAGTACTTGTGACAATCTAATAAAAAAA